TATGTAATTTGAACATCAGAGAGTAAAATGATTGAAAAAAAATAAAAGAGACTCAACCTTAGGAAAAAATCTCAAAAGGTGGAACATCTGTGTCATCAAAGTCCTAAGAAAAGAGTGAAAGTCTGGAGAAAAAAAAATTGATGAAATTGTGGCTAAAATCTTCCCAAATTTAGTGAAAGACAAACTTACAGATTCAAGAAACTCAGGGAACTTCCCCACAAATAAAATCAAAGAAAACCAGTCCCAGACAACTCATAATCAAACAGCTGGAAAACCAGAGATAAGCTAAAAAGCTTGAAAGCAGCTGGGGAAAATCACTACATTATAAACAGGGGAACAACCATTTGAGTGACTGCAGATTTCTCATCAGGAGCCACAGAGGCACAACATTTTTAATAGGATGAAAGAAAAGAACCGTTAACTCAGAATTCTATAGTCAGTATAAATAACCTTCAAGAATGAAGATGAAATACAGATATTCTAAGATGACAGAAAATTAGTCACTGGAACTGCTCTAAAGGAAACACTAACAGGAGGTCCTTAGACACGAGAGAAATGATATGTGGGGAACTTGAAGGAAAGTATGTGGCTATCATAAAAAAGATTCTGCATCCAAAAGCAATCAGGTGTATCTCCAGAGGGGGCATCACAAATACTCACTGCTAGTTGCTGATTTCAGCAACATCAGTTTCCAAGTGGTGTCCAGAGGTTACTCAGCACACTTTCTACCAAGGCTTCAAAAGTGATCCCAGTTGTCCAGGAGACACTGTCAAACCCATAAATTAATTTAGGAGAGGAAGAGTCATTTGCATTGAAACAGCAAAAGCTGGTAACACTCCTCCTCCATAGTAAGAGTCAACCAACCCAGGAGGATCCACAGATCTCCTGATTCTGAAGCAGTTGGCAGTCTCCTCATGGGAGCTAGGCCATTTCATCAGGTAAGGATGACCTGGGTGACTTCTCCGTAGGATGGTTTTGATTGTAAAGAGACTGAAAAATAGTGATACTATTGGAAAGAGAAACACAACATCATACCCAAACACTGTTCTCCTCTCCTCTGTCCTACACACGCACACACGTGTGCTCACGTGTGCATTCATGCATTCTCTCTCTCTCACACACACACAAACATAGCCCTCCCCTTTCAACATTTAGCCATTCCAAAATTCTGGAGAGTTTGGCTACACCTGTCATCATCCTTACTTGTTTGAAGACTCAGCTGCTTAGGAAATAAAATGCCAAAATATATGGACCCACGTACATTTTTAAGATCAACAAGATGGATTCACTTAAAATAAAAAGCTGAATATTTGGGCTGGCTAGTTGGCTCAGTTGGTTAGAGCATGGGGTTATAGAACCAAGGTCAAAGGGTTCGGATCCCCTTACCGGCCAGCCACCAAAACACACACACACCCAAATAAAAACAAACCAAAAGAGTAGTTCCAGGGATGATTGCATAGGAAAAAAAAGCTGCTTATTTGTTTATTCAACAAATAATCGTGTAATGAAGGTTACTTTAGGGGCTCAGCACACATCAGTGAATAAATATCCCTGCCCTTGTAGAGTTTATAGTTCAATAAGCAAGAACAACCAGCAATCAGTTGGCATAAAAAATAAGTAAATTAAACAACAGGTTATGAGTCTGTAAGTGCCATGAATAAAATGGAGGACCTGTCTTGCTGGGCAGGATGCAATGTGGAGAGTGGGTTGCAAAATTAAATAGCCTCATCGCCAGGATGACATTTGCACAGAAGCTTGAAGAAGGTGATGTGGTCAGCTGTGCAGATGTCTGGAAGAAGCATTCTTGGAAAACTGATTAAGCAAAAAAAATGTAATCCTTTTCCCCCACAGAGGATACCACTCTCTAATTCAGTCCTAATGAATAAGCTTGTAGCTCGGAGGGTGAGACTTGCTCACAGATGCTGGCAGGAATGATTTTAGAAATGGGTGGGCAGCAGGGGCAGGCAAGGAGAAGAAGAACAGAAGCATGTCCCTCAAGTGTGTCCTTTGGGAGTCAGAGTCAGAACTGGCTGAACCTGGGGCTGGACAGAAGCCAAACCACACTCAGGGGAGTGCCTTCAATTCACAATTTAGTTGTTTGATTTCCAGCGGCAGTACATTAAAAGCTTAATTTCCATCCAGAAGCCACACAATTAATATTTGAGGTTAAACAAACAAAAAATTTGAAGAACATTTCCAGGGTAAGATGCACATAGGAGTGCAGCTAGGCAGGGGCTTCTGAGCCCACTGCACATGGAGTGAGACCTCACGGCAACCCCTGCAGTAGGTGGGTGGGTGGGTTCTGCCTAAAGGGGGCCAAGCAGAGGAGTTCTGGGGGTAGACCACTCACTCTACAAGCTGTCTGTAAAGAGGTGAAAGGAAGGAGCCAGGTGAGGGGTGGCTGCAGAATCCAGAGCAAAGACCCCTCACCCCACCAGAGAGAGCGGGGAGGAGCACAGGGAGGTGAAGCAGGTAGAAATGACCAAGATCCCTGGTCATGAATGGGAGGGTAGGAGGGGAAAAGAAGCCCAGGCCCCCTCCCCTGTCTCTGGCTTGTGTCTTGGGGTGGGGTGGGGAGCTCCTGGGGACCAAGTGCCTGGAGAAGGTCCCCAGGAGGAGCCAAATGGGAAGAAAGGGAATTGTTCTTAGACACAGAGTTTCTGGTGGCTGACCTCGTACAGGCCAGTGGGATCCAGGTGGTCCAGTCTTGGGAAGAGGCCTGAACTGGAGGAACAGATCTGTCTGAGTCATTATTAGCCCTGTGACTGTCTGAGCTGCACCCCAAACCAGCTGCCTTTCCAGGGAACACCATTTTCACTTGAAAGAATGACGGACACACTATGGTTGTCAGACATAGGTATCCGGCAAACCCTCTCCCAAAAATGAATGGAGTAAACCTGTCACTTCAAAGAGAACTGTAACAGCACTCTATCGCCAGTGATAAAATTTGAGCTTTCCAGTGAAAATTCTTGTATCCACTACTGTGAGCCTGACTGCCCAGTACTTAATGATTTTTGATAAGATTGGTGGTGATATCAGCAAATGTGATTTTCTTTTTCTTTCTTTTTTTTTTTCTTCCTTTTTGTCTTTTTTCATGTCCGGCAACGGACCACAACCCTCAGTGTCGCACCCGTACCGGACCGGGACCGGCAACGGGATCGCAACCCTCGGTGCTGCGCCCGCCCCTCGCTCAGCCAGTGAGCGGGAACCGGTCTGTATGTGGGATCCGAACCCTCGGCGGGAGCGGCGCAGCGCTCCCAAGCGGCGCACTGTAGCAGTGTGCCACCGGGCTGGCCCAGCAAATGTGATTTTCTGACAGTGATAATGAAATGTAACAATACTTGACAGATCAACGTACCTCAGTGAATCAATATTTTCCAAATGACCAGGGTCCCTTCTTATGAATCCTGTGTTGGTAAGTACAAGCCAGGTCAAAGGTCCGTAGCATGATGGTGCAGGAAAGGTTCACGGATGTTTCATGTTCTACATGCCAACTAATTTTAAGAAACTACCTCTGGTCAAATTCACGTGTAGTATCAAAGAGGACCCACAATTATCTAAAAAGGCAATTGAAATACAAGTACTCCCCTTTTGCAACTACTTATCTGTGTGAGGCCAGACTTCCTTCTCACACTTCAACTGAAACAACACATGTCGATTGATTTAGGTAAATGAAGGGGCAGATATGAGAATCCAGGTGACTTCTACTAAACCAGACATTAAAGAGACATTTAAAAATGTAAAACAACACCATCCTTTTCATAAAGTATTTTTGCTTTTGAAACTTTTTCATAGAAGTTTACTTATGTTTACAATTTTATAATTATAATTTTAAATTAACTGATAACTATTTAAATTTTTTTCATTTTTATTTTTATTTAATTTTTTTACTCATATAAGTCAAACACATATTGCTTACTTTATTTCTTTAACAATGAAATACTAATAACGACACAATAATTTCGTTGTAACAAAGCCATCAACAGAGCAAATTAAAACCAAAGCTAATTAACAGGCATTGCTTCAGCTCAAATTAGTTCTCTCCTTTAAACAGGAAAAACTGTTATTAGTCTAGTGGTTCTCAACCCATCTGCACATTAGAAGAATGGAGGTAAGGATTGGAGCCTAAAAAAATAGCTATATCCAAGGCCCACTTCAGAACAATTAAATGAGAACCTCTCAAGAGTAGGGCCCAGGCAAAGATTTTGAAAGTGCCGTCAGTGTTGAGAACTACAGGTCTAAAAGAATAAGCGATAAAAACCATGCCGTCAAAGCAATTCAAAACCAAGAAACTGGTAATACAAATTTCTTTCTTCTTGGGAATGGGGGTACGGTGGAAGATGAGGCACCAACTCATTTCTCATTACTCTTTATCCATTTTTGATAGCACAAAGTACAGTTTAACAAACATCAGCTATTGCAAGTTATGCAAACGTGCAACCAAAATTGAAATTCTCACTAGTTTACATTTAGAAAGCTCCTTGAAACAATACAAGCTTTCAGAAAGAATCCCATAAAATTTAAGCTTGCATAGATGTTCAAGTCAGCTATTTGTTCAACTAACAAGTCAATAAAATGTATTAGAAAGTATTTTACTAATAACAACTATAAAGTAATATTCATTCCACGTATTACAAATAAATTTTTTGGTACAGACAGAAATATTTGTGCATTTGTCACCTATATCTAAAACTGCCAGAATTCCTTTTTATAAGATCAGTATGTTCGAATTTAGAGTCTAAACATACTTTTTTCCCTTAAGAATGCATACATAAAACACTGCCCCTACAATAGCATTATCTCCTTGACAAATCCCTATTGGGAGGTTCAGTAGTAACTGCCGGCATTTGTCAAGACAACTTTTCCTCATCTTTCAGGTTTAAAAATGGTATCACATCAAGATGGAAAATAACTTTTTCTTAAGAATACATGAATTTAAGAGATGTCTCCTCAAATTCAACGAATGCCACTTCTTCAGCTACTTCTATCAGGACTCCGTGTCAATCTCCCACCACTTTGTTCTTGCCCTAAAGTGTTGCTTCTGTCCGGCTGTCTTCATTTACATCTTCCATGTCTGCCAGCTCAATAGATGGCAGAGGATTCCTCCAGCACTGGAAGGTATTACACTGCCGAAATTCTTCATCGCGCCGGCGCGGTGCGGCGTCCCCGTCTCCCTGCGGGCGCCCTGCGCACCCCGCCCCGTCGTGGCCACCGCCCCTCGCGGGCTCCTCCCCCGGCCGCGGGGCCGG